CAACTCCTGGGCTTAGGCGATTCTTCTGCCTCAGCCTCCCAAGTAGCTGGGACTACAGGCGCCCGCCACAACGCCCGGCTATTTTTTGTTGCAGTTTGGCCGGGGCTGAGGTTTGAACCCGCCACCCTCGGTATATGGGGCCGGTGCCTTACTCACTGAGCCACAGGCGCCTCCCTAAACATTCTCTTAAATCTAGATTTGTGGGTGTAAATTAGGTTTAGGTAATTAGATATGCTAGTGTAAGATTTGGGAAACAGGAGGCAGATGCTTGCAGTGCTGGTAAAAGTGTTGAGGTTGCCAGCTGTAGTCTCCTAACCTTTGCTTTGCAGCTCTATGTGACCCTGAAGCCAAAAGTCTAGTGGTAGCCCCTGATTCTCATTGTTATAGCATTGCCAAAGACTTTGCAAGTAGCTTCCTAAACTAAACCCATTCCTGCTTGAAACACCTAGAGTGGATTCAGTCATCTCCACTGAACCCTTAGTAATTATAGAATGATAAATGAACTATGTCATTCAAAACAGCCATCTCTCCTTTGAAATTTCAGATGTATGATAGCAGGTAACTTCCAAGTGGGAGGCATCACACCCAGAGGAAAGAACACTCTGGATCAGGGAGTTGGCAGATGCCACCGGTGCCCACAGAGTGGAGGATGTTTTTATGTCAGTCAGCTGCAAAATTGAGATAATAATCAGGCCCATTTGATAGGGCGTTTGTGTGTATCCAGTGAGGTGTAATGCTCATAAAGTGTTTAGCTCAGTAACTGTCAGTGAGGAACCATCACGATGAATCTTAGGTTTTTATTATTTATTGTTATTATTTGGAGTGTTCAACACACTGCCTGGCATAGTCAATATTAGAGCTATCTTTTTAAGCCTTATTGAAAGAGACTGCAAACAATGTAACCTTTTGAATTGTCCGTTAGGACATTGAAACAGTTTTGCCAGCAGAGCTTATCACTGAGCACAGTGATCTTTGGGGGAGGGTCATAAAAACACATTACACTACAATCAAGTGGAACAGGGAAGTCTAATCCGAGTGTAGCTTTTGTTCCTCCCCCAAATCAATGTACACAGCAGATGCAGGTGGAAGGTTTCGGCTTTCTTGATCCTGAGGCCCAGGGACTAGCGCTTTTGACGTTGCAGATTAGAGATAGGGAGTTAGGTTGCACAGCTCCTTCCATGCGCTATTTAGTGGCCTCGGATCCTGGGCTCCACTGTTAGAACAGCGCCAGGAGCTCCGGGGCGAGAGGTGCAGGACGCCCCGCCACAGAGATCCCCAGGCACAGCCTCTGGCAGGACCGCACTTGCTCGAAGGGGCTTCCTGGGTTCCGCTGCTTTCCCCTTACTCTCCAGCTGCGGGAGGCCGTGCAGCTCTCTCCCCCGGCCGCAGGCGGCGTCCGGAGGCGGGGGTCGCAGCGGCCGCTCGCTCGGGGCGGCGCTGGGCAGGCAGACGCCGGGCCCGCCCCGCCGGCATCCCCGGCCTGACTTCCTCCTGCAGCGGGCGGCCCGCTCAGCTGGAGGAAACGGCAGCGGCGGCCACAATGAGCGCTGGGGACGCAGTGTGCACCGGCTGGTTGGTCAAGTCGCCCCCCGAGAAGAAGCTGCAGCGCTATGTGAGTAGGGACGCCACGATTCGCGCGGCCTTCGTGTCCTCGGGCCCTCGCCCGCGGGTTGGCCGTGGGGAACCTCCCCCCCGGCTCGGGAGTGCTAGACGCAGCCGCTCTCAGCTCCCGGGACCGCTGCCGAGGCCGACAGACGGAAAGCAAAATCGCACGTCGAGCAGGAGCTGCGGCTGTGCCCGGCGGCGGGCTGAGGGGCGAGGCGGCTGCAGACTGCCGCTAATCATAGCAGAGGGAGGCAGGTTGCCCCTGAAATCTCAGGCGTCAGGGTTGCGGGAGCAGCCTGGGAGGCATCTGGAAAGAGTGCCACTGTCTCTGGTGGGAAGTGCTTCTGAGTCCCATTGCCCAGCGAAGGGTACTGACTATGGGAGGGGACTGGTCTGGGCCAGGCTGGCAGGGAGGATCCTGTATTACTCTTGGACTGTAAAGAGTGCTGTCTCTTGGAGTTCTCATCAGACTCTCTTGTCTGGAGACCCACACAGTGTAACTGGTTTCTCGCTGTGTTGCTTACCAGCTTTTTCTCTATGCTGACACCGCTCTTTCTAATGCCAGAAGGAACCATTGACTGCTCGAAATTAGGAACGCATGGAAGAGAAAATCTTCCTACATAGTCCATTGTCATTTTTAAACTTTATACTAGCAGCTCAAACGTTCACTATCTCCATCTGCATACACAGGATAAGGACTTTAAAACATTCTGCTTAAAGACCGGATCGCGACTCAGTGTTTTTCAGCCATTAGGAAGAAACATTTCAGTCCCCAGGGGTTGCATGGAGATATTACACCTTCTTTTTCTACACTGGGAGTAACTTGATGAATTCGTCTTGTTCATACTTCCTAATTTCTCTGCAACTCCACAGCATGGCGGTAGGAACAAATTCGCCCATGTCTGCCGTCATGTTTTCGTAAACAGCATTTTGCAGGAATGTTATTCTATTTACCATGTAGATATCAGACATGTATAAATGCCAAGATTTCTGATTAACTGCCAATGTGTTCCTACATCTTTTTTTTACTCCTCGAGTCCATAAGCACAGAGTCCAATATCTCTCAGCTACTGCTTCCTTCCAGCTGCTTTCCTATGAAGCTACTTTGAACACCCTCATGGGAAGGTGAGGCCTTATTTACAGAGTGGTCCTTGCAATGCTTACTCAGGGTGGGTTTCCTTGTTGTCCGTTGCAATGAGAGACATTTTAAAAGTCCCTATATATTTCCAGAGTGGCACTTACTTTTTGGTACACAATTCAAAAAGATGATGAGCCTGGAGAACAAAGTTTATAGATGATTTTTTTGCTCAGTCTTGTTTTGTATCTTGTCCTGAGCAGACTCGTGTAGAAGTTTACTGGTGTTTCATAAACTTGATGGGAGGCATGGCTGTGCATAACCATTGTCATACATGGGTCATTCTTCTTAGTTAGTATAGGGGCATAGCAAGAGTGGACACTGCAGAGCTTAGAGGTCTCTGCAGCATATACTGAATGTGGTGAAGGAGGAAACATAGCACAAGAGAACCTACATGTCATCTTTCCAACACTGTAAGATGTTAACATTGACGATTTGGCCTTGTCTTTAAGGAGAGTCCTCATTTTGTAGATAGACAATGCTTTTTTACTGAAAACCATCTCTCCCTGGAACACACCTCTTTTCCCTGGAATACACCTCAAGAAGTCTGTTTCCTCTCCTCCCTAACTTCTGTAGGAAGCCTTTTCGCCACTTGATGGCGATAATGTGTCATCTTCATAGGGCCTGGACAGGACTTGTATTAAGCTCCTGTCAGGAGTAATTACTCCTTTCTCCCATTAATGGGGTGCCAACTCTAAACTAGGCCTGGTGCCACTGGATGGGAGGACAGAGAAAAAAAGACTTGATCCCAGCCCTCAAAAATTCCATACTTTAATACATATAGTACAATGACATAACAAAGCTAGTTAGTAGCACAACCAGAGCAATAACTCAGTTCTTTGTGGTGCCAAGCCAGCAGGCATCATCCAACAATTTGCTGTTACAAATGGAACTCTAAGCAAATCTTTCAGTCCAAGGTAAGCTTGTACTTCATCTACTTGAATCCATTTGTGAAGAGAATCAGGAAGTTATTTTTTCTCATTGTTCTTTTAAAAGAGTTCTTTTTTTTTTCTATATTTGTGTTCTACAAATAATATAGAAATATGTTCTTATTGTAAAAATTAAAACAATATAAGGATAAATAGAATGGAAAGTTAAGACTACTTTTAGATTTCACCCACACTCTCCTCTCCCTTTGCATTCCTCCTTATCCTACTCCCCTCTCTAGGGACAACTGTTAGTAGTTTAGTGAGTATCATTCTAGAAAGTTTTCCAGAAAGTATATAATTTTCTTTTTGTACAAAAGGGATCATATTATATTAATTGTCCTGTAATCTTCTTTTTTCATAATTCTGTACATCTTTCCAGGTTAGTACATGTAGATTTACTTCATTTTTTTTTTTTTTTGAGGCAGAGTCTCACTATGTCGTTGTCATTAGAGTGCTATGGTGTCATAGCTCACAGTAAACCTCAAATTCTTGGGCTTAAGCGATTCTCTTACCTCAGCCTCCCAAGTAGCTGGCACTACAGGTGCCCACCACAATACTCGGCTATTTTCTTGTTGTAGTAAGAAAATAGCCAGGTGTTGCAGCGGGCACCTGTAGTGCCAGAGGTGTGTTCCAGGGAGAGATGGTTTTCAGTAGAAAAGCACTGTCTATCTACAAAACGAGGACTCTCCTTAAAGACAAGGCCAAAGCTGGCCTGGGCTGGGCTTGAACCCACCACCCTTGGGCATGTGGCTGGCGCCGTAACCGCTGTGCTATGGGAAACTAAGCTGATATACTTCATTTTTTTAAACCATTGCCAAATATTCCTTAAAAGATGTAACATAATTTAATAATTTCTCTATTGATGAACATTTGGCTTCTATTTCAAACTTTAAAGAATACTATAATTACAAAAATTATAAAGTCACAATAGCCCGGACCCGCCAAACAGCAATGACGGCTGCAACCTAAAAATAGCCAGGCGTTGTGGCGGGCGCCTGTGGTCCCAGCTACTTGGGAGGCTGAGGCAGGAGACTCGCTTGAGCCCAGGAGTTGGAGGTTGCTG